GAGCTTTAATGTCATGAAGGAACTGTTCTTCAAGAATAGTTTGGAAGGCTTGAAGGAATTGAGCAATAAAAATAAGTGAAATACCGATAAGAGTAGCATACCATGGATATACTTTTGGTCCGTCAGTATTACCTGATGAATCACCTGAAGACGTCTCAACAACATCTGGTTGAGCTCCAGGACAAAAAGCAGCACTTCCAATTGCTGCAAGAGAAACAACAATAATAATAACACCAATTATTTCAAAAAGATACATTTTATGTTTACGATAAAAAACAGCTAGTATTGCAGTAAAAACAATAATACTTCCTCTCATCATTTGGAAAACACTAGATGGAACAACAATTAATCCAAAATTCATTAAATAAGTAGCTAAGAAATCACAAAAAGCAGGAATAAGCATTAATAAAAATCCTTTCCATGTCATTGATTCTTTTTCACTCTTTAAATCTTTTTTAAATAATGGAAGGATATGGAATTGAATAAAATAAAGAATTAGACAAAGAGTCATCCCTAAAAACATTGCCCAATTTAAAAATAATGGTTTAATAAAATAATGAACATCATTATCTTTACCTTCTGCTTTTAATTGATAAGCAGTTTTTGATAAAATTGTTGTAGCAGTACCAGTAAGTAAAAAGACAACAATAATAGATGTCATAACCAAATACTTATTTACAAAAGTCTTAAACGCATTAGAAATTTTCTCTTTTGAAGACATAATATTTGGATTTAAAGTTAAAGTTTGTTTGTTATTTTAAACCCTGGAAGTTTGTACTATTTTATTCTTTTCTGATCATCGAATGTTGAACGATTAAATAAAAGAATAGTTTAGAATAATTTAGAATGCTATTTAAAAAGTGTTGAAAGTTTTTAAAAGAAAAGGAGGATGTGATTAAGAACAAAGTATTATACAAAGAAAAAAAAAGAATAAACACTCAACAATTTCATTCTATAATGGTGTACTGTAAATAATTTTAAAGAAGATTGAGGTAATATATATTAAATAAATTAAGAATTAATAATACTAAATGATAAAAACAAAAGAAAAATGAAAGAAGAAACCAAGAACTAAATATTAGAAAAAAAATAATACAACAATGTCAAGGAGAACTATTGATTTATTATGTAAACAAAAAGAAAAGATGGCAATTAAAGGGAAAGAGTTTTGTTTGACTGACCAAGAAGAACGAGAAAGACAAGTTAATCTTTTTAAACATAAATTAGAAGAATTTTTACAAAACAATAGAAATGAAATTACGAGTAATCCTGAAACTCAAAATAAATTATATGTCTTATGTAGAAAAATGGGAGTTGAACCATTAACAAGTTTGGTACTAAGGTAAATATAAAAGAATGTATAACACTCAATTATTAGCTGAAAAAAGTTATTTTTTTTATAGAAATAAAGACTTTTATAATGAACTTACTGTCCAAATTATAGAAGAGTGTTATAAATCAAGAGAATCAAATGGTGGAATTATTGAAATAAATAAGTTATGTGATTTAGTTAATAAAAAAAGAAAATCAACAATTAATCAGTTTGTTAATTATTATCAAACAACACTTTATTAAATAACACTATAGAAATGATATTTTTAGAGCGATTAATCAAGCAAATTGTCTAGGAGAAGGATTAAAAGTTGTTACTATTCACCAACAGAGTTATGTTATTAGTGTTCCATTTGAATTAGCTGATGATCAACAAGTTGTTTTAAGTTTATTAGAGAAAAAGTCATATTTTTTAGAAGATGAATTGCTTACTATTGGATGGTCAAAAGAGCGAGTCAAAGGAACATTAGTTTGTTTGAAATTAGTTTCTTCAATTATTTTTTTTTCATTTACTTATTAGAAAAGATAGGGTTATTAAACTTAGGAATATTATGGGTTGATGACCAATTTTCATTAGATGGTAAAACAATAAGAGCGTATTGGATGTCAATGTATAATTCATTTTAAGTTCAATATATTAATTTCATATTTTTTTATTATATATTATTGCTCTTTCTGTTGAACTAATTATTTCTTTTTGTTATTTATTAATAATGAAACCATTAAATAACACTTTAAGATCTTCTAGAGTAAATAAAACTGATTCTCATCAATTAGAATTGGAGTATTTAAATCAAAAAATATTTGAACGATACCGCCCATTAATGGTCATTGATGATGATGAAAATCAAACATTAAATAGATTGGTAAATAATGTTGATATTGATTTATCATATAAAATACTAAAATTGTGTGTTGAAGATGGGGTGTTAGTTAACAAATCATCTCCCAGTGTTGTGGCTGAACAAAGAAAATTTCAGTCAATAAAAAGATTCATTGAACAACTTCCTGAAGACCCTCTTATTGAACAATCAAAAACAATTCATCAATTAATTGATAAAACGAACGAAGTTTTAGAAAAGTATTGCAATGAAATCAATTTATCAAATCCGATAACATCAAATGATTTATTGCAGTATTCTTTAATAACAAAAAAATATCAAAAAGTATTAAATTGAATAACAATAATTTTTCATTGTTTCCAAAAAACATTATGAACTAAAAAAGAAGACAAATGGCAACACTTCGTGAAACCCCAAATATTACTTCATTATGTTCACAACGAAGAGAAGAACTTATGAAAATGAGAATGAAAAGAAGAAGTGAATTACTTAAAAGAGATATTAATAATAATCAATTTGAACAACTTGAAACGTTAATATTACAAAGTAATAACCCTACTTTACTTCTTACACAAAATACTTCTATTATTAATCAAGCTATTATGGCTATTAATAAAGATAATTTTCAAGAACAATTAATTGCACTGAGATTACTTCATACAATTATTTCATTACAAATAGAACAGTGCCTTGTATTAGTTCAAAGTTCATTTCCTTTTTTAGTATTTCTTCTTCAATCACCTAATAATGAAATTGTTGCAATAACATCAAAAATAGTTTCTCTTATTTGTCAAACATCCACTCATTTTAAAGAAAGGTTTAATTCACAAGGGATTATCCCAATTATTCTTGAGAAACTTTCAAAAGGTTTTAATGAAATTCTAACATCAATTTCACTTATCCAATTACTTTCTACATTAACTTTATCAAATCCTATTGGAGTTAAATTATTACTAAATTCTCAGGTTCCTCAAATGTTAATGCAATTTCTTCCTACAATAAATAATACTAAATTCATTTCTTCATCATTATTATTACTATCTTTAATATCATCTGATCAACAATTCATTTCTGTTTGTATAAATCAAATGGCATTTCTTCAATACCTTGCCGTAATCTTAACTACATCAATTCAGCCAAGTATTATTGCTCCAACACTAACAATTATTGGGAACTTCTTCACTATTAGTACTCCTTCTCAATTAGCACCATTTCTTACTCCGAATGTTATTGATGGATTAATTCGAATAGTACAAAGAGATAATGTTTTAATGAGTGATGCAGTTTGGGTATTAGGTAATCTTGTTAGTGCAACAAATTTCGAAGTTGTAAGTAAAGTTGTTCAAAGTGGATGTCTTCCATTACTGTTTGGACTTTTTGATAATACTGATGATGACCAACTTATTAGTTCATTATTTGTTACAATATCAAATATTATGGCTTCAGATAATAATGGAAGTCATCCATTTATTAAATGTTGTTTAGAATTAGGAATATTAGAATATTTGATTGATTATTTAAAAGATAACCAAACAAATGAATTTATTATGTTATGTTGTGACATTCTAAAATTTTTATTTGATACAGTACCTGATTTATATCAACGACTAAAAAGACTTAATGCAATTGAGCTATTAACTGATCTTGCACAGCATCATATCCAAATTAGATATTTATTGGATCAAATCCAATGGAGACAATGATTGATTAATTAATTTTTATGTTTTTCTTTTTTTTATAACTCTTTCTTTTTTATTTCATTAAAACTCATAACTCAAAAGTTTCATTTATAATGTCACAACCTGTAAAACTTAAGTCATTGAATTTAAAGAAAGCATACCCATTATTTGGCATTAAAAATTTTAGGTCAACGTGTTTTGCTAATAGTGTATTCCAAGTGTTATGTTCTTTACCACCATTTGTTGAATATTTAAAAGAGGTAATTCCTACAGATGATATGAAATATACAAAAGCAATGAAAGAGATGCTTAATTTATTTCTTCAGTGTGACAAAGTTGGAATTCAAAAAGATATTATTGATCCACCTCAATCAATGAAGGAGATTATTATGAAATTACAAACAGAAAGTGGTCAACACCAAATGGACGCAACAGAATTTTATACTACTTTAATTAATTGTTTACACACTGAATGTAAAAATAAAATATCTGAAGGAGAAGAAACAAAACAAGAAGACGATGATGGATGGGAAGAAGTTGGAAAAAAATCAAAAAAAATTCAATTAAGAAGTGAAAAAACTGATGGAACAAGTATAATTTCTGATTACTTTAGAGGAAGTATGAGGTCATTGACAATAACTATTGATGAAAAGAAAAAAAAACAAAATCAAGCTGTGTCACAAGAGTTTTATGTTTTATCATTACCTATTCAGTCTAAACAAAACTGTGTTAGTTCTGTTAGTCAAGCAATTAACTTAGCTTTCTCAAAAAGAAAAATTGATAACACACATTTTCAACAATTATTTATTGAAGAAGCACCAAAATTATTAGTATTACAATTAAATCGTTTTATTTATGATCGTGTAAAATTAGATGTTGTTAAATTAGTAGATCATATCAATTATACTGAATCTCTTCAACTAAAAACAAATAAAGGAAATGTAAGTTATAGACTTATAAGTATTATTGAGCATCGTGGGAATCAAATTAGAAGAGGACATTATGTATGTTATGTTAGAAGAGGTGAGAAATGGTATTTTTGTAATGATGAAAGTATTCAACCTATTGAACAAAAAGATATTTATGATAAGATGGCATATGTTTTAGTTTATTCTTCTTTAAATTAAATAAACTTTTTTTTTAATTTTGATTCTAAATAAATTGAATTAGACAAATGTTATTGGAAGATCATATTGTTGGTCTAAACCAATATAACAATCAGATAATAATAAAACTTTATATGTAAATTCTCCTGGGAATAAAGGACATACACACATTAAAGATATTGTACTATTCCTCTTTAAACTAATTCGTTTCATTGCAGCTAATCCACCATCTGGTTTAATAATAATTAAATACCAACCTTCTTGTTTAGTTTTTGGGAATCTTGGTAAGAAGGCATAATTCAAATTATCATTAATTCTCTTTAATGAAATAGTTATATCAAATACTTTATCATCAAGATGAATATTATTTATCGGTTTAATAAAAACATTTATTCTTGGGAATTTACTTATTTGAAGTAATAAATGACTAACTTGCTTACCATATATTCCAGCTTTTCTTGCAATTCGTTCAATTTTTTCTTTAGGTGTAACTAATAATTGAGGTAAACAACTAATACCTTCATTCTCAAATTGTTTTACTGCTTTTTGATGTACTCCAATTAATGTTAAAAATGGTGATTCATCAATCCATCTTCCACTTCCAACCATTTGAAGTATTTCTATTGAACGAATAACAACTTCTGTCCAGCCTTTTTCTGCAACACTATCAATAAAAGCTTGAAGAATACGAATACATTGATCTAACACACTTTTTGTATCTAATACAAAATCAACAATAGGTAATGTATTCTCTCCAAAATAAGCACTAAGTAATAAGAATACTTTTGTATGTGGATCATCGTATGATTGTCTTAAATTACCATATTTAACTTTCTTTGCTAAATTTTTACAATGAATATCATCTTCGTGTCTTACTGGATGATTATTATATTCTGCTGCATCTGAAATAATTTGTAATATTTGAGCATGATTTAAATCTTTTTTCATTCGAGTAGCAAACATTTTAATAGTTCTATAACTAATATAATACATAGTTGATAATCTTCCATTTGTAGTTGTTTCAACATCATTTTCATCCATTTCAATACATTTAGCACTAACCAATTCATTTAACGCATCTTTAACTTTAGAAACAAGGAATTTACCAATTTGTTCTTTTCCATCATATCCATAATAATTAGGATTCTTTAATAATCTTCTAAAATAATATGTAAATGTTAAAAATTTTACAGCTTCTTTAACATTTGTAACATTACCAACAGCAATTTCTGCATTCAATTGATCAGCCATAACTGTTTCAAAATAACTTTCTAATGGGAATGGTTCAAACAAAAATTTTCTCAAAAAATCTTTTTTAGGTTCATATGTTAAGATAACGGCTACTCCTTCATTATCATATTGTGGTCTTCCTGCTCTTCCCATCATTTGAAGGACATCTGTTAATGGCATATCAACAAACTGATGCTTTTTACCATCAAAATACTCTGTTCCTTTTATAATAACAAGATGTGCTGGTAAATTAACGCCCCAAGCTAATGTTGCTGTAGTAATTAATATTTGAATTTTATTAGATTTAAATAATTTTTCTGTTATTTCTCTATCATGATCATTTAAACCAGCATGATGCATACCAATTCCATATAACAAACATTCTTTTAATATACCATCAGTGATATTTTTAGTAATTTCACTCATTTCTTCAAATGGCATATGAAGGAATTTTTGAGGATTTCCATCATTAAAACAGAATTTTACTAAATCTTGTGCAGTAAGTCGAGTTTGTCTTCTTGAAGAAACAAATATCATTACTGGTTTATCTGGTGAATGTAATCTAATAGCTTGATAACATGGTTTGTTCATTGTTGCCATTCTTGGACAATATGCTTTTGTAGGGAACCCATCAATATGTGCAATTAATGGAACTGGACGAAGTGATGAATGGAAATTAAATACAGAGTCTTTATCTACTCCTATCCAATTCATCATATCATCAACATTAGCAATAGCAGTAGTTAATGCACAAATTCGAGTTTGAATACCTAACTTTTTATTTATTTGTTTAGTTCTAGTAACAATAGCCTCAATTACTGGTCCTCTTTCTTCTCCAAGTAAATGAACTTCATCTAAAATAACTAAACCTACTTTTTGTACATAACTTTTCTTTGTCCATAATCTAGTAATACCATCCCATTTTTCTGGTGTTGTTAAGATAACATCTGCCTTTGCAATTGCAGCACTATCTGGTGTAAAATCACCCGTAAGTTCTACAATATTCTTTCCCATTGTTATTAATTTATCTTTCCAATCACTCATTTTTTCTTTTACTAATGCTTTCATTGGTGCAATATATACTACTTTTTTATCTGGAGTATCTCTAAAAATTTTTAACATACAAAGTTCAGCTGCAACTGTTTTTCCTGAACCAGTTGGTGCTCCAACAATAACATTTTTATTTGTATTAAAACAAATAAAGAAAAATTGTGTTTGTGGTGGATTAAAATAATGGAAATTAAAGAATGTTTGGTATTGTTTTAATGCTGTTGTTGGTAAAGGATGTAATCGTAAGAGTTTTGTCATATAAGACTCATCTGTCGGTAAGGTACTTTCATCAAATTGAACAGGGAAGTTAGAAATACAAGCAAAATATTTATCTGAAACTACATCAACCATATATTGAATACCAGAAACAACTGGAACAGTAGCAATAATTTCAATAGGAATACCAGTTCCATTATAATCATCAATTTTTTTCTCTGAAAGATTAAAACTTTCAAAATAAAATAATTGGTTATAGTTATTATCACTAATAAATAACCAAAAATTTTCTATTGTTCCTAAATCATTTCCCCATCTAAATGTTGGATGAATATGAACTTTCATTTGTAATACTGTTGCTGTTAATGGGACACAAGTAGTTTCTAATACAAGATATGGATATTCATGAGCTTGTCTTATAACATCTGTTGCATATTGTGGAAAATCAATAAACTCAGTTTTGTCCATTTCACAAATAGTGTCAATATCAAGTTTTCGTTGTTGTAATTTAAGTAATACTTGAACAGGAAGAGTTTTAAATTGAAATAATGGATGAACTGTATCCCAATTTTGTTGATCTATCATCTTTGCTATTTCTAATAAATTCATTGCTTCACGTGATAATCCTCTTATACATGCTAATTCAAATAAAGCACGAGTAACTCTTGAAGCATTTTGATTTGCATATAAAGTTTCAGACATTAAGGTATAATTAATTAGTGTTATATGAGATAAACTTGCTTGAATAAGAATGTTTGCTTTATTAGAAGCCAAATCATTTGTTGATGATAATGGCCATCTAACAGAATTAGCAAGTGTTTCCATTTCTTGTTTTTCTTCTTCTCTCATTTTTTGTAATTGTTTTAATTCATTTGATGAACAAATAAGATCAAGTAATTGTGGCATTTGCATTCCTTCATGTAACTTCTCTGAAAAAATATACATTGATTCAACTGTAACATAATAATGAGATGCAATTCTTCCAAGTAATGTTGGTGAAAATGTTATAGTTTCATCGTTAATAGTTATCATTTGAATTTTCTCTAATGATTTGGCAGTACCTCCAATTAATGAATTAAGATCATCATATGATATTCCTCCAGGACTCTGTTTTAAACAAACATATAAATAAGTATATTGGAACCATTGTAATGCCTCCTCTAAATTAGTAACAGTTCCAGAGACTATTTCTGCATTTAAATGATCAGCTAATCCATTCATTAATGTTGATTTAATTTTACCCATATTACCAAGAATAGCCATATACTTTTTTAATCCTTCTTTATCAGTAATAATAATACCTGCACCTTCACTATCATATTGTGGTCTTCCTGCTCTTCCAAACATTTGAAGAACATCTAATATTGAAATTTTATCAGAACACCCTTTATCACTATTAAATACTTCAGTCCCTCTAATAATAACAGTATGGGCTGGTAAATTAACTCCCCACGCTAATGTAGCAGTTGAAACAAGAACTTTTAAAGAACCATTTCTAAATGCATCTTCAATAAATGTTCTATCTGACCTAAACATTCCAGCATTATGTACACCAATTCCCATTTCTAATAATTCCTTAATATCTTTCCCTTGTAATTTTTTTATTCTTGTTGCAAATTCTCTACCTTTATTTCCAGTAAAATATTCTGTAGCTCCTTTTTCTTTCATTCTTCTAATAAATCTTTGTGCAGTTAATACTGTTTCTCTTCTTGTGTGAACAAATACAATAACTTGTTTTCCTCTTTTTACTACAATCTCTGCTTCGTCATAAGCTAAATCAGTAGCGTGCTGAGTGAATTGTTGACCTTTATTCTCTTTTTCGTCTTCAGGTAAAACAATAAATTTAGTAGACATTGGAACTGCTCTATAACTCATATCAAAATGAAATATATTTTCGGGCTTAGCTCTAATAAATTCTCCTACATCTTGATAATTTGGTAATGTAGCTGATAATCCTACAACACGAATTGGTCTTTGTTGACTTTCAACCATTCTTAATGTTCTTGCAACAATTGTTTCAATAACAGCTCCTCTGTCTTCATCCAATAAATGAACTTCATCAACAATAAGTAGTTGAATATCATTTACAAATTCTGCATCTTGTTTTCGTGTTAACACATCAAATTTTTCTGGTGTTGCTACAATAACATGAGTACTTGCAATGGCTGCTTTTGAAATGTTAGTATCTCCAGTTACTTCTTCAACTCTCATTTTGAAACAAATCAAATGTTTTTTAAAAGTTGTTGTCATTTCTGTAGCAAGTGCCTTTAATGGAGAGATATAAACAATTTTTAAATGTTCCATATCATGTTGATGCATTTTAACTTCTCTTAACATACACAATAAAGCTGTTAATGTTTTACCACAACCAGTTGGTGCACAAACTAACATATTTTCTCCAGTGTTATAAGCAGTTTCATATACTTTACTTTGTACATAATTTAAATGAGTATAATTTAACATAGCAGGTCTAGTATAATCATCTAAAATATTTTTAACTTCCAACCGTTCTGTGTTAAGACTTCTAGCAGAAGGAACAGCAGGGATATATAATTCATATCTATCAGGAAGATTTCTTTCAATGGCATTTTTTGGAATAACAGGTTTATTTATCTGTTTTGGTGGAGTGTACGAAATTTGGTCAGTAGGTTTTGGTGTTTTTTGTCGTTTTGGTTGTTTTGGTTGATTTATTATTTGATGACTTAAAATGGCTGGTAAGTTCTGAATAATACCAGATATAAATTCAAAAGAATCATCACCATATACTTCAAATAGAGACATTTGTAATGCCATTTCATCAGGGTTCATTTCAACTAATGACTCAATACTTATTTCTAATTCTTCATTTGATAATCCTAATCGTTCTCTTAATGCACCTGTATAAGGAGAATTTTCAATATAGTTATGAAGCCAGGTTTTTCCTTCATTTTGTTGTTGAGGAGAAGGAGTTGGATTTGGTCTTTTTCGTTGTCTTGGCATAATTGATAGGGTAAATCTAGTTTTCTGCTGTTTTATTTCATAATTGTTATGCCTCAATCTTTTTTCATTTTTGTAATACACAAAATGTGGTATTCGTTTTTTGTGTTATTTAACCAAAACTAAAAAGAAAGATAAAATGAATTATTCGACCATAAAAATAAATAAAAAAAAAATAAAAATTAATTAAAAAAAACAAATGCTAAACTTGGTCAAAAGACAAGTGTCTCAAGATAAACGAAGATTCCAAGAAGATGGATTTGATTTAGATCTCACATACATCGAACCTAGGATTATTGCCATGGGATATCCTGCTGAAGGTATTGAATCATATTATAGAAATAATATGGTAGATGTTGCTATGTTACTTAACGTTTGTAATTCATTTTAATAAAGCACATTTACCTTCAATATAAATATTTATTAGTTTAGCAAAAGCATTTAGGACATTACCGTGTATATAATTTGACAGAAAATCCATATGATCCTACACCGTTTCACAACAACGTTAAATGGTTTCCTTTTCCTGATCACCACAACCCTTCATTAATTGTGCTTTGCCATATTGTTGATGATATGTATAAATATTATAATGAAGATCCTGCGAATGTTGTTGTAGTTCATTGTCTTGCAGGAAGAGGAAGAACAGGAACTGTTATTACTTCATTTTTACAGTATATTAAATTATGTACAACTCCACAAGATGCATTGGATCATTTTGCTTCTATTCGTTCAATGAAAAATAAAGGAGTTTCAATGCCAGCCCAAATCAGATATGTTAATTATTTTGGGGAATTATTATCAAAACAAATTTATTTTGTTCAAACAACTTATCTCCTCAAAACACTATCTATTGGACCATTACCTGATCAAGGAACAAATAATGTATCATATGAATTAGATATCTCTAGTATTGATCAATATTACAAACCATTTATTTATATTCAACCATTGGTATCCTCTTCACCTAGTTATTCTTGCATATATTCAGAGTCAACAAATATTATTCAAGCATCATTTAATCCACCAATTCCTTTAGCAGGAGATATAAATATTCGAGTTCGTTTAATTAATTCTAATCCTAGTTATGGTCATACAATTGTTGCACGTGCATCTTTTCATACATATTTCATTGACGGTAATAAACTTTCTTTCGATTCTAAAACACTTGATATAAGAAATCCATTTAAATCAAAAGTATCAAGTAGTATTCAACTTATATTAACATTTTCTGGTTCAACTGTTCCGGTTCCACTACCAGAATCAGAACTTATTTTCTTACAACAATTCTATGAACAGTACACTTCTTCATCTCAAAAGAAACAAAAACCTACATTTGTTATTGGGTGTAGACCAAAACCAAATTTTGTTAATATTTCTAAATCACCTCAGTCTGACTCTTCACTAGTTCCTTCAACATCAAACTCTCCTTTATCACAAAATAATGATTCTTCTGAATTAAAAACTCGTTTAACACCCCAAAGAAGATCTCCATTATCTCCATCAACTTCTTTCAATCAACCAAAGAAATCATCAAATGCTGTTACATCAAAACTTTTTAAATGATTGTGTATCTCCTCAAATAAAAATTCAATTAAATGTTATTCAATCTTTGATTTTGTTTTCTAAACAATCACATTCTTTTTTCATTTCCATTATTTTGTCAACAACTACATCAAAAGATGATGTACTACTTAAGCCAACAATATCAGCTATTTTAGATATTCGTTCATTAATTTCTTCAACTGATTCTTTTAATTTTTTATTATTTTCTTCTTCTTTAATAAGGCATTCCTCTTCTTTTTGGAGTTGATTTTGTTTTAATTCATTTTCTCGTTGAAGTATTTGAATTTGTTCTTTCATTTTAATTTTCTCTTCAGGTTCTCGTTCAAGAATAGGACCAGTTTTTATAATTTCTTCAATTTCTTGAAGAGCTTGAATTTTTGAACCAATAATTTCTTCCTCTTCTGATTCACTAGGTGAAGAAATTATTGGAGTTAAAACCTTATTATCAGAATTAATTTGTTTTAATTCTTCTTCTACTCTTTTTTGAACTTCTTCTTCATTTATTTCAGTAACTTCTTTTCCTTCAACTCTATTAAGTAAAACTTCAAATTTATTAGCAGTCTTTTGTCTATCATATAAAACATCTTTTTGAGTTTTTTGGATATGATGTTGAAAATTATCATCAAAACCAATTAAATCTTGATTATAACTATCGTTAATCCCTGTAAATTCAAGTTCTTTTCTTCTCATTTCAATGTCATGATTTTGCTCATTAAATCTATCATTAATAGCTTTACGTTTGTTTAAAGCAATTTTTACATCTTTTTCTGCTTTTTCAACTTCTTTTGTTATTTGTTTATCTTCTTTCTTTAGTTCATCAATTTTCTTTTTCATTTGTTCAATAAATACTTTCTTCTCTTCTATACTTTTTTCATTCTTTTGAAATTCTTGTTCCATATCAGTAGTTTCTTTTTCTATTGAAGCTTTTTCTGTTTGAAGTTGTTCAACTAACTTATTATTATTTTTTCTTTCATTTTCTAACATTGTATTTACTTGATTAAGTTCTTCTTTAAATTCTTTTTGAATTTGTTTTTGTTCTTTCTCAAGTTCATTAATTTCTCTCTGAATTTGTCTAATATCTCCTCTAATTTCTTCTTCTTGATTTTTTAATTGACTAATTACATTACTTTTATCTTCTAACTCTATCTCTTTATGTTCTATAGTTTGTTGTATTGTGTTACTATCTTCTTTTATTTTGTCAAGCTCATCTTTTAATGAATTTTCTTGTTCTAATAATGTGTTAATTTTTTCTTGTAAACTAAGTTTTTTTGTGTATAAAGAAGTGAATGTTTCTTGTAGTGTACGAATTTGTGAGTCAATTTTAGTAAGGTTGTATGTATGTTTGTGATAATCCTCATCTTTTGCATTAACAATATCTGCTTTTTGTTTAATTTCTTGAGTTTGATTATAGATTTCCTTTAACTGTTTTTCTAATTTTGGGTTATGGTCTTGTTCATATTTTAAAGCACGATAACTTTTGATCAATTTGGTTTGAGCTTTTTTAAGTTTTATGTCATCCTCATCTGAATTAATCTCACTTATTCTTTCTCTGATATAACTCGTTATCCTTTTGTCCAATTGATCAATGGCATAATAGTTTTCTAATATTTCTTTTTCTACAATCACTATTTTCTCTACAAGGTTCTCCTTTTCAACCATTTTTCTCTTTTTTTCTCTTTTTCTTTTGAAGATCTTTTAGAGATTTCACTTTACCCTTCTCTTTTTTCGTATTGTTATTTTCTTTTCACTTTTTTCCCTTTTTTCATTTTTTCAGAATTTTTTTCCATAAAAATAACCATCTTAAAATTTTAAATTCAAAATATGTTTAAAGGTTGCTGCATTGCTGGATGCAAAAACCAAGGTGAGTTTCCTTTATCTAAAATTCAAGGAACAGTAAAAATTAAAAAGGAACTCATTAACACAATTCCACGTGAATGGAAAATTTGTAAAAGTGACTTTGATAATATGTTAAAACAAATGGAGTGTTGCATTGAACATTGTGACAAAATGGCTTGTCCATTAGAAGTATCATTATCGAAATTAAATCAAGTAAACTTAAAGAATGATTGTTGTCACCATCAACTATGTACTTTCCATGCAACTAAGTATTCAGATATAATAACACGTTTGTTTTTGTTAAAAACTATGATTAAAAAATTTATTCTTCTAATTTTTATTGTGTCTTCATTGGTATTATTTATAATCATGGGGAAAGTTCTTTTTTTAGAGAATTATATTAACCATTTTTAGCAACTCCTATTAAAAGAGAAACTCAAACAACTGACGTACAACTACCTCTACAAAAGAAACAAGCTGAAGATGAAGACACTATCACGGAATCTAATCAACATAATAGTGATACTGATACTTCAACTGAAACAAGAGATGACGGAGAAAATAATCCCACTACTGGAGAAGAAAAAAACCAAAAATCAAAAAATGAAAAATCAATTACTGTTCCGGTTGATCCAAATCAACCAATTTTCATGGAAAGAGAAAAACATAACTATTCTGTTAAAGAAACGTCTCTTAAAAGAGAAGGTGGAGAAGAACAAAAAACTGAAACTTCTAAAACTTGTCCTCAAGACTCTAAAGAAGAAAATAAAACATTAGTTGAAGGGTCTATTGTCAATGAAGAAAATAAAATAAAAGAAGACGTTGTTGGTGCTTCTGGTGAAGATACAAAAAACTTTGAAAAAGTCAAAATAAATTTAGAAACTAAAGAAGAGAATGAAGTTAATAAAGAAGAACGCCAATGCTGTATTGATAATTGTAATGCTATTGTTGAAAATGAAATTCCTATATTACAACCACTTCATGTCTATGTTTGTCAAAATCATTTAGATGAAATTATTAAGTTATGGAGAGTTTCATTATTACAACATCAAATAGTTTTAAATGATGAGTGTCTTGAATTAGTAAAGAAAGGAACTGGAGAAAATATATATAACCCATTATATAATTATACTAATCCAATGCAAAATGATATAAAATGTGCGTTATGTTGTGGTTTTTATAAGAAAGAAGAAACATACAATTGTTCATTTTGTCCATTTACTTTTTGTGTTGAATGTTATAAACATTTATGTCTTACACTAGGAACACCTCAACAATTTATTTCTAATAAGGCTCGTTGGAAGTGTTTTGTTTGTTCTTGTTGTGAACCAACAGCAATGAATAGAAATATTTTCATTAAAAAACAATTAGAGTTATTAATACCTATTATTGAGGCAAGGTTAAGCGATGGGTGTGTTATTGGAAGGTCTGCTGATGAGTTAAAAGAATTTGTTGACAGCATCAAATAATTTCTTGTTCTTGAAAAGATAATAGAATGTGGTTTTCAGTTATTAACTTTTTTGTTAAACCAAAAGTATTTTTTTTAATAAAAAATTGATGGTCATTTAAACAGTTTTTTTGAAGTATTTTTAGGGCAGTTCTTATCAGAAGCAGAGTTGTAGTTTCAACTTTTTTACCTTTAATTGAATTTAAACTTATTCCAATATTCTAAATAAAAATATATATTATTGAATTTTTAAGTTATAAAAAAGATAGTATGCAAGGGTGATTATTAATTTATTGTTTTTTAAATTCTTCATGGAATGGATTTGAGTTGAAGATATTTTTATTTTATCAAAGTTATTGAAGAAATCATAACAAAATACTTTTTCTGAAAAATAGATACTTGTAAATAGAATCAATTATTTATTAATTTGTGTTAGATTTAATTTTTTATTACTGTTATTGTTGTTGACAAGTTTTTCAATTGTTCAGAAATAAGAACAGAAATATGAATTTAAGTACATTAAATAAAAACTTGTTTGTTAACTAATTATAGTATTAAACTTCAAAAAAAAATTTTCATTGTTAATTATTTATATAATATAAGTAAAAAACAATTTTAAAAGAAGTCTTTTGTTATGACGAAAAGAGAATAATTTTTATTGTTTCATAAAGTAGAATAAAAGTTAGTTAATATCTTGTAATTAAGAATTCTTTGCAATGCTTATCATCTTTTTTTATTGTAGTCTAATAAAAAATAATGAACGTAAATTAGATAAACCATTTGCTGTTATTACTATTTATTAGTTTTTTTATTAGAGAGAGTAAGATTAAAATAATATTTGAAATTATTAAAAAGATAATTTCTTGTTTCTAATTATAAAAGAAGTGATTTTTAAATAAAATAATTTTGTGTTTTATAATTCTTTAGTAATATGAATAAAACAATTTTACTATGAATGAAGTTGATTTATTTGTTTTTTTTTTATTTTTTTATGTATAAAAAACAAATTTTTAAATTATTAATGTTTTTTAGACTAATTTTATTTTAATTAAAAAAAAAAAGAAGAAAATAATATTTTGTTATTAAAGTTTAATTTCTAGATTTCTTTTTCTTTGATGAAGTACAGCAAGATATTCATCTGGTGAGATATATTGTATTGATAAATCCTTTAGTTTTTGAATTTTCTGTATTTTTCCTTTTGGTATTTCGAATACGTAGCTTCCATCTTTTTCATCTTCAATTCCTTTTACACTTATTAATTTTTCCTTACCACGAAATAGTCTTATCCACAAAGTCTGTGTTTTCCATTTGGTAATGATCACTTCTTTTTCTTTAACCATAACCTTTTCCATTTCTTTTAATTTATTAACTGTGGCTTCATTTTTAAATAAAACTTCTACAGTTCCTTTGAATGTTAAAGTTGTTGGGATATATTTCATTTTGATTTGATCAACCTCTCCAAACTCTGACAAACACTCCTTGATTTCATCTTCATTCAATGAGCATGGAATCCACTTAATTTTTAATCCTCTTTTTTCTAACTGAGCAATTGGCAATAAATTTTTTCTTCCAATTAATTGGTGGTCTTCTGAAAGACGAAGGGTATTAGATTGTTTTAACTCTTCACAAATTTCTTGTGTTGTTTTATGGAATCGTTTAATCATTTTAAATCCTTCAATAATTGATAAGGGAACCATTCCATCTGCGTTCATTTTTGATTGAAGATAAAGGTCAGTTGAAAGATTTATATCAGAGAAGTAGAATTCTATTTGTTGTATAAGAGAACGACTCATAACAAAAGAGAATTTGTAGTGTATGAAAAAATGTAAGAAGAGAAAAAAAAAAGAGATGAGAATGAATTAAATAAATGAAAAAACATTATTCTATGAAATCATTCATTAAGAAGTCATTAATGATTTCTGGTTTCCATTGTAAATTTCTTCTTTTCATATCAAGTAAAAGAACATTATATTTTGATAAGATTCTTCGTAATTCTACTTCATCTTCTTGTGACAATATTTTTCTTAATGTAATTACTGGAGTTATACTAGTTAGTTCTGTTTGAATTGAATTTTCAGGATGAAGTGGAATAATTAAGTTAAAGAAAGGGGAAAGAGTTGTTGTAAGGCCAGACAATGGTAATGTAAATAACCACCTAAAAGGTTCGAAATCAATTGAAGGATTAATATTGATTATATCAATAAATTTAAGTATTTCTAAAAGAACATTTGGTTCAAATTCTTTATAATTTTTAATGATTCTAATCTACAAGATATAAGGCAATGAATTAATTTATAATAAACTAAAAAATAAAAAACTATTTAACAAACAGCCTCTACTAAAATTGGTCCTAATAGTAATCGAGTCATAACAAATGAACATTTACAATAAATAACTCTTAAGAATAAGAAAGTATTTATAAGTACTTGATTAGACTTAGGGTATAACGCAATAATTTTTAAAATTCTTTTTAGTAATTCATTTGCTATTTTATCAAATGTATAACAATCACCACATAATACTACAAATGCAGCTTTTTTTAATTCAGATGCTTCTATAGAATCTATTCTTTCTTTTATTCCATTACCACTTCCTTTGGCACTTTGCCATACTTGGTCAAGGTGTTGAGAATAAACAAGAGAAATAATTGGTAGCCATTTTGATAATCGACTTGGATTTGAAACAAAAAAGTTTTTATCATTAAATGTATTCATTACTAAATTTTTCCATTTCCCAGTCAATAAACCAGAACGTTGTAAAGAAAGAAGGATATCTTCAATCATTGAAATATTTCTTTGTTCAAGAATAACTTCTAATTGTGGAATAAGTAGTGAAAGAGATGAAGATACGTTTGCAGAAAATATTTGTAATGGATTTGCTTCAGATGGTTTTAATGAAATGGCCAATGGAAGTAAATCAGATGTAAATGAATTAAGGTCATCTGGAAGTGTAAATTTTTGAACTGCTAAATAAAATAATTGGAATATTTGAGGAGATGCTACAACAAGTTGAGGTGGAAGATTATTTATTTCAGAACAAGATACTAATGAACGTAAAGCCCTTAAAAATGAAGTTATTGAATGGTTTTGAATTGTAGTTATTGATAAAGAAAAGAATTTAAAAAGTTCTGGAACCAGTTCTTTTAATTCTTCACTATTTGCCATTGGAAGTATTTGAGAAATAGAATCAAATAAAGAGTCTGCAGGTATTCTTCCTAATTTAAATAAAGAACATAAGGTTGAAATATATATATTGATAGGATTGGAAGTAAACTTAAGAAAGAGACTTGAAAACATTTTTCTATGTTCTTGAGTTGTGGCTGTGTGTTCTAAAAGAGAGTCTGGAAATACAAAAAATACTTCTTCCATTAAAAGTGCTAAGTCATCTTCTATTATGTCATGAACTTCTTTAATTTGAATACGAGGTAATTGTTGATATAATTCACTCACCATTGAAAATAATCCAAAAAGAAGAGGTTTGAAGAAATGTTGATTATCTTCTTTTTTTTGAATATTAAACATTGGAGCTAAAAAAGTAATGTTATTTGATGGTTCTTTATTAACTGGATATTCTATGAAGATACGATGTACTAGTTGATTAATTATTCCAATTAATCTAATTACATCACTATAAAATGCATCAGAATTTAATTTCATCATAGATGGTACTTTTAAAAATATTTCTGGTAATGTTTTTGTTGCTAATATTGGTAAATTTTCTTTTGGTGAATTAAGAGAAAAATCAGTAAATATTTCTGGATCAATAAGAACATCTAATGGAATAGAATCCATTGTATCTAATGAAGTTTGAATTAATGCTGGTGTAGAACGAACTAAAGTCCTTGTCAAAATTAATAATTTTGAATGAAAAATTGGTTGTAATGAATGAGATTTTATTGGAACACTAATAGCAGTTAAAATGTGTTGAGAAAAAGAATGAAGTATTTCAGAATGTTCATATCGAGTAAAGAGAATAATTAATAAATCTGCAGCTTTAACACTTTCTCTAACTACACATATTCTTTCTATTATCATTAATATTATATGTATTGGTGTATTAATAAGTGTTCTTGGAAATGGATAAATAACTAATAAAGATTTCATTTCATCATTAATTTCTGTTGTTAATAAAAGATCAAAACAACCTGGAATATCAGCATTAATAATTTGTGTAAAATATGTTAAAAATCTTAATTCTCTTTTAATTTGAGTTGTTGAATTCTTAGTGATTAGTTTTGTTTCTTCCTTATTTTGAATAGAAGAAGAAGGCTCTTCATTAGAATCAATAGTGTCACCATTTTCTATAATCATTTCATCTTTACCATTTAATACTCCCATTACAATAGAAATAAAAAGTGTTGCATCATGTGACATTAAAAATAAAAACCAATCACGTGCAACTTTAAAATAACGTTCATCTGATTTTAGTAATGAATAAATAATACATTTCATTTGGTTTGTATTTATAATTTTTTGATAAAATTTATTCATATGCATACAAATTAATAAACGTTCATAATCTATTACATCTTGAAGAGCACTGAAAGGTAATGCCTCAGCATTTGATGCTAAAAGTGAAACAATTATTGGTAAAAATTGTTCTGCACTAGAAACATTTTTCCATAAAAATGATACAATTTCTTGAGAAGATGATAAATAAATTTTGGATTGTTTTGTTAATCTAAAGAAAAGTCTACAACAAACTAAAGCAGGTGCAATATTTGAAGAAGACAAAATACTATTAAGAAGTATTTGATTTAATTGATAATGAAACTCTTCATTTGTTGTAATTGTAGCAAAAGTAAGAATAACACTTAATAAATTATTAAGTGCTTTTACTTCACGTTCTCCAAATATTGTTTGTATTAATGTTAATTGTTTTTTAAATGGTTCTAATGAATCTAGAATTGGTAATTCTATTTTTAAATTATCATGAAGTGATGAAACAGTTTTTTTAATTATTATTAATGCTGATTCTAATACACTAATGTCAGTAGCATTAAGTTGTTTTTGAAAATAGTCATTTATTAACGTGTTAAATAATGACAGTGCTATAGTAATATATTGATCTTTTTGTTCTTTAGATGGAATATAATACATTACAAACACAATTTTTTCATTAAATTCCATTGAATTTAAATATTTTATAAGTTCATCTATTTGAGCATTTTTTAACATTTCAATTAATATATTACTTTGTTCTACATTTTGTTTATTTAAATTAATTTTAATAAATAAATTCATTAATGGTAATGTGAGAGTATTTCCAATAACACTTGATAACAATTTATTTTTAATAATAGAAGAAAACATTTTAGTACATTCTGATGATGGTCCTGTGTCAGTAAAATCTCGCTGTAAAATTTCATATATTGATTTAATGAATATATCTTTAACATATAGTTCAAAATATTGTGAATCATTTTCTCCAATAAGATATTGTGTTAGTCGTTGTGTTATTCCACTATCATTAAATATCACCAATTTAATAACAACTTGAATTAATTTTCTTTTACAATCATTACTTATATTAGTTTTATTTAATTTTAATTGTTCATTCATTAAGTCAAGTGTTTGTTTAATAACTAATGTATTTTGATTTAATAACATTTCACATAACCCATCACATAATGTTTGTTCTTTGATATTGTTAAAATTAATTTGATATTTCTTTAAATTTATAAATTTTAAAAGTCCTTCTCTTGTATGAGGTGTGATACAGAGATGTAACCACATTTCTTGTTCAAATTCCAAATTGTATTGGTCGTATAATTTTTGAAATAAACTTAATGCTTTTTCTTGTAGCCCATTCACTGGTTGAAGTAAACTTGAAGCAAAACATGAAACTAATGGTTCTAATAAAGATAATGTAAAGTCATTATCATTTAATATAAATTTGTCTATTATTTCAATACATTTTACTCGTATTTGGGGTAAAGCTGTTTTACCCATAAGAAGGATAATTGGAAGAAAAAGTTGAATATATTCTTTCATTTGGTTATGTGAATACCTTTTAAAATATGAAATAATAATATCTAATATAACTCCATGTACTGCTTGTGGCATATTTTGGTCAGCAGCCTTAAGAAGTGCTTCAAAAAATAAACTTTGATGTGGAATTTCTATAATTTCTTTTTTTTCATTTATAATTCTAAGCAATGAATTTAAAGGTGAATAAATATCCATCCAGTCTCTTGCAACAATACTCTATCAAGATATCT